ATGTAATATTTATAACTCAGGTAAGATAAATTCACAAACATTATCCTAGTCAGAAAACACATAAATATATTCATAATTTAGACATTTTGAACAAAATCATCTATTACTTGTCAAGAACTGAGAAACTCCTAAACATCTGCACGGAGCTCATACAAAATACTACAAATTGCTAGGAATTCCCTGAACATTCATTTCATTTGTTTGTGTTTAATTTGCAGCATATGATGTTTTATGCTAGTAATTATATAAAATCAACAGTTATGAACACAGATAAAGACTTTCAAAGTCGAGCAAAAAGCGTAGTACTATGTAACAACGTAATCCATTTAAAAGCAAAAAAAAAAATACTGGCATCATTTCAAAAACATAAAGTGCTCTGTACTGCTGGAAGAAGCGTTTATTATTTATACTCTGGAGGCTTCTCATTCGCGTCTACCAACATGTTCACCATTTGGAATGAAGATGAATTAGCAAGGCAATAGCCAAAGATGATTTTTTTCTTTCTCCAACTTCAAATGCAGTAATATTCAGGCTAGTCCTTCACATTCTTCCTCTAGTAACTGACAGAGATGTGAGGGGCTTATTAAGAGATCCTTGGATCAAAGTGGAGGATGCTATGTCACACTGTAATTTCTGGATTTGGATATATATCTGAAGTTAAATGCTAGAAATGCATTTAAGCTTGCCAAGGCAGGTTGGTGTCATGAATAATGTATTGCATTCTACAACAGAGAAGCCACCATAAAGCCTTTTACTTCGATCCATTTAACTGCTGGTCCAACACACAGAGCGTGGAATTTTCACACAAAAACCTGTCTGGGGGTTTTGGCTGTGGACACATGGCAAGTGACTGTTCAGAGCACCGTGCTGTCTAAGTCAACAGTATAAAAAGTTGTCAAACTTGCAGAAAGCCACACAGTTGTTTTAAAATCTGCCTGCATAATTTGCATTATGTTATACTTTTACCAGATGCAGGATTACAATACATGCACTGCAACTATGGATGTACCCAGAGGCACAGAAAATAACATTTCAACAAACAGTTGAGAACATTCAACCATCCCTCAGCGGAGATAATGGCTGCTGAAAAGCACTTGTCATCTAAACTAGTTAATCTTCACCTTATTTCACGCTGTAATTCTCCCGTGGCCCTTAAGACAGTACTGGAATACCCCAACTTCTGTGAAGGAACTTTGTACTGTTTGGCACAATGTCTGCACATAGATCTCACACTACAACCAAAGCAGCCTTGCCACAGCTGCCTCCCAACCCGCGCTGAGCCCCTGCTCCCCAGGCACCGCACTCCTCACCTCACGGCTCCCTGAACACGGGGGGCTTCTGCTCTGGGCACAGCTCCGGTCGCCCCCTCTGCGCAGTTCTGACACTAGTTGGCTGAGGGGTCTAACCTCAGGGTACGCTCACAGCATAAATCACAGTTGGTGAGGTTTTCTTCTAAGACAGGTGCTTACGTTGATATGTGTATTTTAATAATAGCCTGGAGAGCAGCAAACTCTTCCAAGCAGCGGGAGACCTAGATTCAATTTCCTCGTTAGCCTGAAAGGCTGCAAACCGCATCCCACCACCCGGGGAAAAGCCTCCGGGCTGGGACCAGCTCCTCCTCTCCTGTACAGCAATTGCTCTGCTGCACTGCAAGGATGCGGCGTTCCCAGACTGGAGTGAAAAAGCAAACCTAATGCTATTAACACAAGTTATTGAATAGAAAACTGTTTTACCATTGGCCATTTATCGTGCGCTGCCAAACTCTGTGCCAGGTAGTATCAGCTGGAGGAACAAAGCAACCATCTCACAACGAATCACGCTGCCAGAGCCAATACTCAGTCCCAGCTGCAGCCAACACTGTATGATCAAACTCCTGTCAATAGATACTAATGGAGAGACCCTACTAATGGTGCTGGAGCGTCTAACTTGACAGCAATCTGCCTCCACAAAACCAAAATGCATATAGAAAACATGCTGAGTGGGTATGAGAAAGTATCTGTTTACTGATTACTACTGAATAAATTAAAAAAAGTAATTGGCCTGTCATGTTCTCGTTTTGATGTACTTCAGAAAAAAATTTTCAACCTTCAGGCAAGTGAAAAAAAAAGACTTAATAAGGTATAGTTTCCCTGAATCCGATAAACACAATCCCAAAGCATCTCCTAAAAAAGTCAGAGCGTGTACTTTACAGATATCTATGCTCCTGGCAAAATACCAAATTATACTTAGCTGGAAAGCAAAATCTACACTGGGCATCAGGGACTAACTTACAGGTGTAACTGAAATACTTCCTTAGGTAAAAAAAAAAAAAAAAAAGGAAGATGCGTTATAAAGAGAGAACACTGTGTTTGGCTTCATTAGTGCTCAGAAACAATTACCCCTCCATCGCATGAACAGTGGGTGAAAAAGACATCCTGTTCAGTGGATGAACAGTCGCTGAAAAGGCGGTCCTGTGCCGCCCCGGCCCCATGCGCAGTCACCCCCAGAGGCTGTGCCGTCCCCTCCTGCGAGGGGCGCAACAGCAACGCGCAGATAAAGACAGAAAACGGGGGAGAATGGTTTGGGAGCAGCCTGCAGTTACATCACGTTAGATGTAACACTGAGCTGTCCTCCTAAAGCCCTGGTGAACCCTTGGATATACGTTACAGACATATCCATTTGCTTTATTAGTACATAATTAAAAAAAATTAAAATGAGAATTGTAATAGATGCGACTTCCAAATTGGTTATAAATACTGGCCTTAAAACCAGAAGGATCAACTCAGTAAAAATTACACAGAGTCAGACTTCTGAACTCACAAACTAAGCAGGATCATCCTTGAAAAGTTCATAGATGTGCAGAAGACCATAGAAAAAAAAAATCACAGGGCGGTAAGAACTGGCTGTGTCAATGAACACTGTGCCTCAAAACGTAGTAAAGCTTTCAATGGCGCAAAACCAAAAGCTGTCCCAAGGAGGACTTTGCAGAGGAAGATTTCTTCAATGTTAGATGTCTCCTGCATTCCGCTGTGCAGGAAGTGAACATGGAGTAGAGCGCTGGGAAAAGTATTCCTATAACCTGCAGTCCCAATATGGGACTTCGGACACGATATGAGTTACAACAGCCGCCTTCTCAGGGGACAAAAGGTTCAACACTAGAATAGCTTCGGGATCACAGGCTGTGACTGTAATTTAAAGCTTCCTTCTGTACCCTCTGAGGAGCGCGGAGCAGAGCTCACAGATCAGTCCATTGAGGGTCCCGCTGCAGCTCAAGTCTGGCATGACAAAAGATGGCAAGGTTTTAGCAGCTGTGTATAATATTTCTCATCAGTGAAGAAAGCTAGTCGATCCTCCAGCCCAAGCTCAGGATTTTTTACTCATCTATAGGAAAGAATACAGTACCTTCTTTTTTTTTTTAACACATGTTACAAGAAGGCAGATCTGGGAAATCTAGGGAAGCTGGTATTCTAGAGAAGGCAGCAACGACTGACAATGTAGGGAGGTCTGTATCTCTGCGTGTTTCACACTTTGGCTTCAACCACTGCTGTCAATCCAGAAGCACAAGTATACAATGCCAGTTTCCTTCCCCTTCTTCTCCAGATTTTGTTTTCATTGCCTACAAAAGGCACCCTGACAATTGAGATTATGGCAACATAAACTGCCAACATTAATATTAAAACCCCATTAACCATGAATATTCAAATCTATTCAAAAGGGAAAGAAAGAGCTCACATTGCTCTGAGAGCCCAGCTGTATAGGTATGCTTTGCTGCATTTCAAAAACCCACAAGATTGTATGGTATCTCCAAAGAAGCAACAAGTTCCAAATACTACAGCGCTGTTGGCGAACCCCCGCCAATAATCCTTTCCTAGTCAAACTTACTAACGCCAAATCCAATTCAATCCTCTCCACTGTTGCAGAATGCCATCAGGAGACAAATGGCATTGTAGGCATGTCTCAAGATAGACTTTTTCCTGTTTATTCAATTTCAGAAAACAGATATAATTCCCTTAGAATAAATCTATCTTTGAAAAATTCATAGGACTACGAGAATTTCATTGTTCTGTCATTACTTCAAAAGAGTAAATAGTGTGACTTACACTGCTGTGAGTCATCCACCTCAATATTGGTTTCACAGAATCACAGACTGGTGAGGGCTGGAAGGTCCCTCTGGAGCTCCCCCACTCTCTGGGCAGCCTGTGCCACTGCTCTGCCGCCCTCACAGCAGAGAAGGCCCTCCTCAGGTGGAGATGGAACTGCCGATGGTCACGTTTGTGCCCGTTCCCTCTTGTCCTGTCACTGGGCACCACTGAACAAAGACTGTTCCCATCCCCCTGGCACCCTGCCGTTAAGTATTTGTAAGTATTGGTAAGATCCCCCCTCAGTCTTCTCTTCTCCAGACTGAACAGCCCCAAGTCCCTCAGCCTTTCCTCACCACAACCCTCTGAGCTCTATCTGCCAGCCACTGTTCAATCTACCACACTGTCCATTCATCTAACCCACACTTCCTAAGCTTGCCTGTGAGGACGATGCAGGAGAAGGTGTCAAAAGCCTTCCTGAAGTCAAGGTAGACAACATCCACTGCTCTCCCCTCACCCACCCATCCAGTCATGCCATTGTAGAAGGCTGTCAGATCAGTCAGACAAGACTTCCCCTTGTTGAATCCCTGTTGACTACTTCTGATAACCACCTTTTCCTCCAGATGCTTTCAAATGATGCCCAGAATGAGCTGTTCCATCACCTTTCCATGTGGCCTTGCCTGTAGTTTCCCAGGTCCTCCTTCTTGCCCCTTTTTGAAAACTGGCTTTCCTCCAGTCCTCAGGTACCTCGCCTGTTCTCCAGGACCTTTCAAAGATGATGGAGAGTGGCCCAGCAATGACTTCTGCCAGCTCCCTCAGCACTCACAGGTGCATCCCACCAGGACCCATGGACTTGTGGATATCCAGTTTACTTACCTGATCTCTAAGGTGATCCTCTTCAACCAAGGGAAAGCCTTCCTTCCTCCAGATTTTCTCTGTTACCTCCAAAGTCTGGGACTCCTGAGGACTGGCCTGAGCAGTGAAGACAGAAGCAAAGAAGGCATTCAGTAACTCCACCTCCTCTGCATCGTCGGTCACCACGGCACCTGTCTCGTTCAACAGCGGGCCCACATTTTCTGTAGTTCTCCTTTTGCCTTCGATGTACTTGAACATCCCTCGCCAGTTTTAATTCCAAAGTGCCTTGGCCTTCTTCCTTTCATCCCTGCATACTCTGATGGCATTTCTGTAATCTTTCCAAGCGGTCAGTCCCTTCTTCCACATACTGTAAACCTCCTTCTTCCACTTAAGCTTTTTCAGAAGGTCCCTGCTCAGCCACGCAGGTCTCCTGCTTCTCTTGCCTGATTTCTTGCTCTTGCAAGATGCACCGATCCTGAGCTTGGAGGAAGAGATGCTTGAATATCAACCAGCTCTCCTGAGCCCCCCTACCCTCCAGAGCCCTCTCCCATGGGAGTTCTCAAAGCAATTCCTTGAAGAGATCAAAGTTAGCCCTCCTGAAGTCCAAGGCTGCAATCCTACTTGCTATTTCATGCATACTACGCTTAATCCTGAACTCTGTCTTCTTATGGTCACTACAGCCAAGGCTGCCCCCAGCCTTAATGTCCTCCACCTGTCCCTCTTTGTTTGTCAGTGCCAGGTCCAGTAGTAAACCTCCCCTTGTGGGCTCCTCCACCACCTGAGTCAAAAAGTTATCATCGATGCACTTGGAGGAACCTCCTGGACTGTACATGCCAAGCTGTGTAGCCTTCCCAGCAGATATCGGGGTGGGAATTTCAAGGGAAAATCATGCAATATCTGATTAAAGATGATTACTTACTCTTAAAGGATTAATTATATTTTGTAGTACTCAACAGGTTTTGGGGGAAGATAAAGCTTTTCAGATCAAATACTCCCACAAGCAAATGACAGCAACTGTTAACAACATATTTCTGAACATGTTTTAAGCTTTGAACTCAATACCACACAAATTTCTGATTCTGAGAGACAGGAATACTCAGAAGTTATATGGCAATATTAAATTGGAAAATACTTTCTTGATACTACATTTCTTAATAAGTAATTAACAATTATTTAGGGTGAAAAGCTACCTAGAGAACTGATTCTCAGCCCGTGACATAATGTATTCTTATACTACAAACACAGAGTTAAAGCGGATAATGTTTGCAAAAGGAGTAAGGATGGATAGAATGCAAAAGAGTGAACAATAACACAACAAACAGTTTGCTTGGTAAACTGGACTCAAAGGGTTCTTCTAAACAGCCAAATACAAGACTTGTGATGTCAAAATTAAAGACTGTAATCCCTGACTCTTAAAAGGGCCAGAAGAATTGTCAACTGTAAGTATCCGAATACGAACTACCAATTTGCAAGTTGAACCAATAGCTGAAATTCATGACCTGTAGTTTTGTAGAGAAGCATATTAGATGGTCATTATTCTAAATGTTACTACTTGTAAAATCTGTAAGTAACAAGTGCTACAGAAATCATTTGTGCTGAGTTTCCCCCATGTAATCTTATAATATATTACATCAATCATAATGCTGCTGCTGCCATTATGGACAGATCTGGAAATTGGAGTTCATTCTTTGATGTTTTTGCAATTCTGACTTTGATACCTGGAGCATATCAGGAAAAAATCTATAGTAGACAGCTATGGGCTTGTCAAATATCTCACATTTGATTTAAAACCAAGCTGCAATGGGTTTGATCAATGACGTACTATGCTGATCCTGGACACAATTATTAACAGCATCACTAGCATTTATATAAATAAAATTTCACAATTTTCCAAGTAAAATTGCAAACCTGTAACGAAAAAAACCTTATAGGAGCCAAGTCAATGTGAGCTTACTTCACTGTATTTTATGGCTACACACAGTTCACATATCACTTCTTTGTAAACACTCTGTTGGCCTTGATGCAGTGTGGCTTCTCACAGTACAAAAATAAAAACCTTTTTAATTACCATGAGAGGCAGAAGTAAGGAAAAACAATGCTATTCATTAAACCTTGCCTAATTAATTTTTACACACTTTTTTTTTTTACCCAGTAAAGTACAACTAAGTATAACTATTACTATTACTCAACTTTAAGATTATCAGAGAAGAAAATGTTGCAGAATTTGTATCAGATTGAAGAAAGGATGTACAGCTATTTTCTGACATGTTTATGGCATAAATAGAAAGAAATACAGACTTTTTAAAAGACCGAGCTCTGCAATTTGCAATTGTAAACAGAGATGGATTGAAGAATTAGGAAAAAAACTAACTTTCAAAATCCTGAATATTGTGGTTTGGAAGCACCTTTCTGGTAATATTTCATATTATAGTAGATAATTGGAACAATGATACAAAGCAAGTCTGTTCTTTTTCCTGGACACAAGATACAGTGTACAGCAGTAATGTTTAAAAAGCACAGAGTATTCTCATCTTCCATTTTAGGAAAAGGCCAAAGGGATTTCTTTGTCTCCAACGGCATCTCCACTTTTTCTAATTCTATTTACTGAGCTCTGCCAGAAATGATATATAACATAATCTCACTTATGAGGGGTAAACATTCGTCTTTCTTTGTAATAATGCAGCATACACAACGTGCCAGGTATTTTCAAAGCATTTTCCCAGGCACATCACTTCTACCCAGTTCCACCTCACCCTTTTTTCTGACTCTGTGTGTTTCTCAGGACCAAAGGCAAACCATGACTATTTTCCACAAACACAAAACTGTTCCCTTAGGTGCCTGGCTGAAGGTTATGAAAGAGGTCTCATTCAGAGGAAGAACAAACAGACTGTTCAGTTCCTTTCTTTTCTCTGCAACTGGATTGTAATGGTTAATTCTGTTAAGAACTGATTTCTAAAACAGTGGCATTATCAGTGTCTCGTGAGGAACAAAGGCGGTGGAGGCAGAGCGGACGGGAGAGGATTCTGTCGGTAAGGGTCAGTACACGCCGCAGAGCCTGGAAACACCAGTAGGAGCTGCGTAACATTTTCTTGGACAGAGTGAAATGTACTTCCCAACAGCTGTATTCACTGACGTTTTGAGCATGTTTCACACACCCGCTTCTGCCAAAGGATGTTTAAGAAATACTAAGTTCTAAAAATAAATGGCTTAAATTCTGAGTTTGCAGCAAAAGATTTTAAGAAAAGAGTACCACAGTACACTTCACACTGCTATCCGTAACAAATGTTTAATTCCCATCAAATTCCAGAAAATACTGAAGCATTTCTTTAATTTGAGTAGTTTAAACCAATATATAAAAGACATGTATAAAGCCTATAGGAGGAGATTCTTAAATGGTTTCCTGACAAAGGAAATTATCTTCAACCCAGAAATAAAACCTAAATTCCAGAATAGGCATAATTATAGATTGAATGTGAAAGCTTAACCTCAAAGAGCAACCATTTTCAATCTGTCAAAAAGAAAATTGATCCAATCCAACTGCAAAGCATTAATAAAATTCAGACAATAAGCAATCAAAAGTTTAAAAAGGCAAAATTATCACAAGAACCACTTGTCTGGGTATTCTCACGCAATGAGAAGCGGTGTTTCAAAGGAGACAAATAAGAACAGGATGAAGTTTTACTAGAACAAGTATGTTGAACGCTAACTCCTAGCAACAAAATTACAGAACAGCATCCTGTAACACTTATATTTTTGCCAAGATCAGTTGGGATGTTCAAGCAGCTTTGTACTGCCACACTTTTTTTTCACCTGGTAAACTAAAATACAGAAAATGAGGTGAAATGCCAAACCACCCCGAAGAGCCAGGACTACTGACCTCTGGTTTAGTTTAGTAACCAAACCCTGAATTACGCTGCCTTCCAACGTTCCTTACAAAGCAGTAACAAAGGGCTTTAAGAGGCTTCAGATGTTCACTCTCTCTGAACAGAGTTCATTAACACAATAGCTTTTATTTTTAGAAGTACGAACATCTGCTAATAAGCTTAATAATACAAAGTATCTCACAAAATTACTGTATTTTTACTGCACGTTGGTAACCAGCGTTTACGTTGACACTAGAAAACATTCCTTCTTTACATATTACTTTTTCTTCTTGTATTTCCACTTCTTCGTTATCACAATGCACCAAATTTCTAGAAAGCATCAATTCCTAAACTAAAAACAGTATTATAAAATATACGTAATGAAAAGTCCCCGGTAATTGAATAAAAAGTGAGTTTTAAGAGCCTACACTGAAATTATTATGGAACAACTTTGTTCCTAAAACCAATAAAACAAGAAACCTTAAATTCTAACATCCTGTGATTAGATTTTTTTCAGTGGATTATTTCGATTGATAAGGAAACTGTAACCCATGAAAATATTAATCTCATGAACTAAAAATAAAAAAAAAAATTAAAAAAATGCATGCCATTAATCTCATGAAGAGATTCTAAATTATACATTTTATTATCCTACGGAGATTTATACTCCCATTATCTCTTACATCCACATAAGATAAAGCAAGTGTAAATCTGTCTTTCTCCATGAAGGGAATTTCATAATGCTGTATTAGAGAGGTGATTATTCTATCCTCACATTTCATAACACTGTTTTTTTCACAACCAGAAGCACTCTCATTTAATATTAAGACAGATGTTTTGACTGAGAGCAACTATGGATACGTGCTGAAACTAAAAATAGAAAACCCCATATGAATAAACATTGAAATGTACATTAATCCTTATTCTAAAGGTGATCTTCCACCACCAAGACACTTGGCCAAGATTTCCTCTAAATATTTGCAGCAGCCAAAGGAATTAGATTTTTATGCAAATTCTACAAATCACATTTACTCAAATTGCAAAGCATCCAATTCTTTCTTTTTCTGTTAATTGTACATAGGGTAGGGCCATCACATCTGTGCCAATTTACACTCATATAAACAACAGAAGTACAGGCTGATTCCATCTAAATTTAGGCACAATTTGCAACAATGCAAATGGTACGAGAAGAAATTTTTGTAAATATGTCGAATTTGTGTTTGATGTATTTCCCTGTATCATCCCACAATATGACATACATCATCGATTCAGCTGCGACGGTCTTCTGCCTGAAGAGTTAGCTGCCATCCATTGGCATGTGGTAACTACTTGCTCAAACTATTAAAAAATTTCAGCTGTCACGATGTTCCCTGGAGAACAAGGCTGTGTCTCGGG